GCTCTTCTACGGAACCGCACCTGGACACTGGTTCCCCGGCCTCCTCGCGCCAACGTCATCACCGGCAAGTGGGTCTTTCGCCATAAGACCCGCTCGGATGATACTCTCGAGCGCTACAAGGCTCGCTGGGTGGTCCGTGGTTTCCGCCAGCGCGCTGGAGTGGACTTCACTGAGACGTTTGCCCCGGTTGTAAACCGGGCACGATCCGCACCGTCCTCCAGCTTGCCGTGTCCTGCGATGGGCCCGTTCACCAGATGGATGTCTCCAACGCCTTTCTCCATTGCCATCTTGAGGAGCAGGTGTATTGTGAGCAACCCACCTATTTCGTCGACGCCTCACTTCCTGGCCATGTGTGTCTGCTGTCCCGCTCTCTTTACGGGCTCAAGCAGGCACCCCGCGCCTGGTACCAGCGGATCGCCGGGTTTCTTCAGACACTAGGCTTCAGCGTCACTCGCTCGGACGCCTCACTGTTTGTCTATCGCCACGGTGACACGACTGCATATTTGCTTCTTTACGTCGATGACATCATCCTGACGGCCTCCTCCGCAGCTCTTCTTCAGCAGATTACTCTCCGGCTGCGTGATGAGTTTGCCATTAAGGACTTGGGTGCTCTACATTATTTCCTTGGCATTGAGGTCGTTCGGCGCCCGGATGGTTTCTTTCTTCATCAGCAGAAGTATGCACATGAGCTTCTTGAGCGTGCTGGCATGCTCAACTGTCACCCCGTTGCTACTCCTGTTGACACGAAGGCCAAGGTCTCTGCTCTTGAGGGCTCGCCTACGTCGGATGCTCCTTTCTACCAGTCTATCATCGGCGCTCTTCAGTATTTGACTCTCACCAGACCGGATATTCAGTATGCTGTTCAGTGGGTGTGTCTCCACATACACGCCCCTCGTGGCTCCCATTTGACTCTTGTGAAGCGGATCCTTCGTTACATCCGCGGCACGATGACCCTCGGATTGACACTCACGGCGTCTACTTCTTTGGAGATGGTGGCCTACTCCGATGCAGACTGGGCTGACTGCCCTGATACTTGTCGGTCCACCTCCGGCTACTGCGTCTACCTTGGTCCTTCACTCGTCTAGTGGTCGTCCAAGCGACAACCCACGGTTTCGCGCTCCAGCGCGGAGGCTAAGTACCGAGCTGTGGCCAACGTTGTTGCCGAGTGCACCTGGCTACGACAGTTACTTCAGGAGCTGCATCACGACGTCTCCCAGGCTACGATTGTCTACCGCGACAACGTTTCTGCGGTGTACCTCTCCGCCAACTCCGTTCATCATCGCCGGACCAAACACATTGAGCTGGACATTCACTTTGTGCGCGAGCAGGTGGCTCTTGGACGTATTCGGGTTCTCCATGTGCCGACTGCACAACAGTTCGCCGATGTCATGACGAAGGGACTGCCGACTTCTACCTTCGAGGAGTTCCGTTCCAGTCTTTGCGTCACTGGCGCCGCTTCGACTGCCGGGGGGGGGTGTTGAGTATATTGTGTGCGTGTATATTTGTGTGTAGGGCCCACCTCCTGTTTTCTTTGTATAGTTGAGGTTGTGGCCCACCTCTGTACTTATATATACGTGTCTGGTGCACCGATCAATACATCGAGATTGCATAGCCCATAACTTATCCTTCTACATATAGCTCTCTACAACAAGATGCAATGTAGCATCTCAAAGAGAGCCCGTAGTGGACTTGTCAGCAGGGAGTCATTGCTTCGGCTCATAAGTAACTTGTTTATAGTTTGTTTGTATCGTAGGCGTCATCTGATAAATTTAGGTCCCTCACCTTCGGCTGCCATCTTGGCACTGAGAGGTGGGGGGACCTCAGATCTTCAAGGCATCTATGTTCTTCCTGCACATCTAGTGATCGTCATACTTCTATGAGAATAAATTTCTTCTCGTTCTTTTGGCGATGTCATGCGGTTAGAGAGTTTTCCGTCCTTGCAGATCTGATGAGTTTATGTTGATATGTCAAGGTTTTTTCTGTTGGTTTGGTTCTTTATGAAGGTGAATTTTTTTTCATCGACACCATAGCGAAGATATAGTAATTCAACGACCTGCGCTTCTAGGGGATCAACCCCTGTCCAAGTACGATCAAGGCTTCTTATCTTTTTGGATGAGCGACTCTAGGCGCTTTCAAAAACAATTATCGGTAATGTTCTTGCAGGTGAAAGAGTGACAAACGTCGTTCCTCCAGTCCAATTACAGCCCCTTTACCGAAATCTTTGCAATATTTCTTCAAGCAGAGATAGATACCGTGAAGAAGGTTTTTTCAAGAGATTTCACTGTAATTCTTTTCATAGGCGTTAGTTTGTATTTTCTTGGATCTTAGGTCCAATTTAGTGTACCTGTAATTGTTATGAGTAAGAATAAAGTAACAAGTGTTAAAGAAAAGAGTTAGTCTGTATCCAACAGCATGTGGATTTTGAGCAATAAAACTTCGTGGTACCCTAAAAAAGTAGTTTGTTCGCTTCGATTTTTCCATTTTGTTTTCACACTTTTTTTGTGGTCTTAGTTCAAATTTAAACTAAAACCATGACAAGAATTATGAAATGGAGGAAGTATTTCAGAAACTATGCAACATATTTTTTCTAAATGTTCACCGCAAATTAAAATGTCCTTGCAGTGTAACAATTTTTTGGTGCATTATTTTCGAAAACATTGTGACATATTCAGACGTTCAAAAATATGATCATGGCAATCTAAATATATATTCATGAAAATGAACAAAAAAATTCACGTTGTTTTAAAATATTCATATGGTTCAAAATTTGGTTTAGCACATTTATAAAAATGTTCACACATTTTAAAATATGTTTCATGACAGTTTTTTTAAAATCATAAATTTAAAAAATTTGTCAACTCAGTTTTACAAAAACTTTCATGACATATAAAAGAATGTTTGTGCTATTGTAAAACAATGTTGCAATATATAATAAAATGTTTGCACATTTAGAAAAATATTGATGACACTTTTGAAAAATGTTCAAACATGTGTTTGTAAATGTTCACCATGTATTAAAAGAAATTTAATTCTAATTTTGCAAATGTTTAACATGTACTGTGATAAAGGATCTACGTATATGTGAAAAATGTACAACCTATACACATAAATTGTTCAACGTGTGCGAACCAACCTGTGGTTCGATGGTTAGAGGGACAGTGGTATCCCCAGTCCACCAGGGTTCAAGTCCCGGTGCTCGCATTATTCCTGAATTTATTTTAGGATTTCTGGCGATGCGCTTTCAGTGGGAGAAGACGTTTCTGTCGACGACGAGGCGCCTACGATGAGTGTATGCGCGTATGTATGAGCGCTTGCATCTGTACTGTGTTTAAAAATATATATTTGTTCAACACGTATTTTTAAAAATTGACCCGTATTTGGAAAATAAAAAAAAGAAAGAAAACCAATAAAAAAAAGGAATGAATTAAAGAATCCCGAAACTAAACCATAAGAGAAAACCAAAAAGAACAATTGCACGAAAGGTCCTAAAAACGGCCCAACCCAGCTTTACGGAAGCTTCCCATAAATTGCTTCTTGAGTCGACCCACTTCAATGCTCGAGCAATTGAAATTCCTAGGGAGTTGTACGTTTGTGCATTGATTAGATTGTTCATTTTTTGAAGCTGCAGATGCATGCCACATTTGCAAAAGACCCCGCTGTATGCTAAACATCCCGAGCGCCTTCCCTAATGTGAAAGAAATCTAAAACTATTATAGCCTTGACTATAGCCTTGCACAACGCAAGAACACTTCCTGAGCATCCCCGTAAAAACATTTAAATATGATGTAACATTTCAATCACACTTGCACAACCAAAGTTTGGGCATGCAACACATCCCTGTTCATTGAAATGTTCCGCAAAGATACAATATGAAACTGAACACAATCAACAAATGAGAATAACATATACAACAATGAGATTCACAAACATTCATTTTTCGAAATACACATCCATAATCATTGCAACATATGTTGGAACCTTCACAGTGGATAAGGACACGAAAGTGCTCTTTTGATCCCGAGCTCATATGCTCCCGCATGAATAGTAAAATAAAAAATAGTTAAAAAATTAAAAAAAAACTGATTTTTTTGTGATAGAAATTGATGAATGTTCTAACTACGTGCAAAATTTCAGGTTGAAATGATATTCGTGTAGGTCTGGGCAAACAAAATTGATGCTCCAAAATGCTTCCAAGAATAGTCTTTTTGGACCATTGATTTTATTTTTTTGCCCAGACCTCCACGAATGTCATTTCAACTTGAAATTTTACACGCAATTAGAGAATTTATCAATGTTCATCACAAAAAAAAATCAGATTTTTTTAAGTTTTCACTATTTTTTTTCAATTTTACTGTTCGTGCGGGAGTATATGAGCTCGGGATCAAATACTCCATGTCCATAAGGACACATGTTTTTGTGCACCGGCCTTTGGTGATTCAGGCTCGCTTGAACCCTTCGAAGCTAGACAAGTTGACCCCAAACTCATTGCCCTCAACCCACCATCTTTCATGTGCTCGAGAACTCAGTAAACTTCCGTATCGAGCTTCGGTCTCCACGGAGGATATGGGAGTGAGATCTGTAAGCTTGATGCAAGGCTACGTGAGAGAGTGCGAGAGAGGGTGAGGCTCGAGCACCCATAGAAGTGAAGTAGACAGTCAGTCTCCGTCACAGGATTTCCATGCCGACCTTCTAAATAGAGCAAATAGGATGGATACATGATGAAAAACACACCAAAGAAGTTGAAAAATGGAAGGCATTTGTTTAGAGGATGAGCGAGTAGTCTGGGCACTGGAGTTCTGTTCAAAAACCTTATACGACCGAGAAAGAACGACACAACATGTTGGAATCTAATAAACTGCTCTATTGGGTGAAGGGAATCATTTCTCTAGAAAAATATATAGCTGAAGAAAAAGAGAATATGAAAAGGAGAACAAGGAAAACAAAGAAGAAAAACAAGTGGACTTGTAGCAAAACAAACCACAGGCAGAAAACTGAGGACCATGTTGTCCCTCCTGCCTCTTCGCTTGCCGTCCCCCGTAGCCAGCACGCTCCCAGGCGCCGCCTACCTCCTCCCCGGCCTCGCCAGGATTCCCATCCTCCGAACCCCACCGCGAGCCAGCATGAGCGCGGCCGCCTCCACGCCGGACGCAGTCCCGTCTCCCGCCGCCGCCGCCGCCGCTGTCGGCGAGGAAGCGAGGAAGGAGGCCGAGGACGTGGTGGTGCAGTACGTGGTGCTGCGGCGCGACCTGGCGGACGCGTGGCCGCTGGGGAGCGTGGTGGCGCAGGGGTGCCACGCCGCCGTGGCCGCCGTCTGGGCGCACCGCGACCACCCGGACACCGCCGCCTACTGCGCGCCCGGCAACCTCGACAGCATGCACAAGGCATGTTCGACCTTTTGCCCCACCCGAACTCGCGCCCGTTGTTTGCCACTTCTCTCCCCTTATCTTCAGCGTCCGCATTTCGCTATTAAACAAATATGAATCTGCATCGCACCTCCCTCGAACAATAGTAGGCATTCGCATTTTTTTTCCACATAGGTTTGCTGGCTGATTAGCTCATGAAGCCATTCATTCATCTGCATTGCACCGTGATATTGTGATAGGGGCTGTGGAGGCTTTGACATCATATAATAAATACATTGTGTTCTTGTAGTTCCAGTTTGGAGGTGCTTCCTGTGACTTGAACATCGAAACTAGAAAGCCATGAATGCCGTAAACAAGGAGATGGTTCTGTGTGCTCCCCTGAACTCGGGTACAATTACTGTATCTGAGACGATGCTTGTGATGACACAAGGTGGTTCTAGTATGTCCAGCCCACACAATAAGTTTGGAAACCCCAAGTGGAATTCTCTGTTATGCTGGTGCTTAATTTTGTTTGGCTTAGATATTCCTGCACAAAGGAATTGAGCACGAATTTTTTAAATTCAGTACTTCTACCCTTCATTCCATTCTTCTTGCTACGGCCTGACTGGGCTATTATATAGTTTCATGTTCATTAATCCTTGTTTTGATCTGGGAACTTTTTGCAATCAGGTAACATTGGAGGTGAAAGGGGAGACACAGCTGAAGAACTTGGCTGAGAAACTGGAAGCAGCTGGTGTACGGCACAAGCTGTGGATAGAGCAGCCCGAGAACATCCCGACTTGCATAGCCACAGCACCCTGCCCAAAGTCGCAGGTAGCTTCGTTCTTTAGGAAGCTAAAACTTTGCAAATGACTGAAGAGTAATACCTATCCAGGTTGCTGGTCTTGGTTGTTATGGGATGACATTAGTAGCTTTGCTGCATTGAGGTCACACATTTTAGTCCCATGTTATTGGTGATACCTGTTTCAGTCTTTCATCAACTGATTGTTCCTGTTTAAGAAATGGATGTGCTCGTATTGGCATGACAAATAATAGTGAATCGATGAGTTTTGTGTTGGATCCAACTGCTTGGCACCGTACTGATTGATTCTGTTCCAGCAATGAGTATACTGGGTTGGATATAGTGATGAGTCAGAATTTACGTCTTCAGTCTTTGATGATCTGGTGAATTTTTAGCCAGCATGTTTTTTTTTTCTGAGGAGCCTGCATGGAGGTTACTCCTCTACTGTCTTGAGTGTTGAATGCTCAAAGGTAATAACGAAGGGAAGACATCAATGCAGGTGTTTTGGTAAGTAAATTGCGCACTCATATACTATATGCACAAAGCAGTTCTTATCAAGCTTAAATTGCACTGATGACAATCATTCCAGGATCGTGATTAGAAAATGTCATTTTCTGTTGAGTAAAGTGAGTTGTAATATTGGACCGTGTTTTCATTTAAAATACTACTGTATTAAAAATTTAAAACTTGTGTTGACCAAACTGAGCTGGAAATAGTCCAAACCTCAAACTTTATGTTCATTCAACACATAAAGGATTGCATTCCAAACCTCAAGCTTTATGTTCATTCAACATATAAAGGATTACAATTTCACTCAAAATCCACTGCACTTACAAAAGCATCTGTAAGACTGTAACGAGTAAACAAAAATACAGAAGGAAAGTAAAAGCGCTCTTCTTTGTTTCTATGTACATCAATGCCCTATTGTACTACTACACACTACTGTATATATATATACCTCTTCAGACATATGTACACACCTGCAGAAACAGCAGCACCTAGGAGCATTTCATCTGAATACTTGAAGGATCAAACCACTTACAAAGTGGACCACCCTTAATGATGCTTGGGCGAATCTCTCCGTGGCGAGAAGAGCCGTCGTGGCGAAAGCATGGAGAGGAACCCCGGAGATGCGGAGCCGTTGAGTGAGTGGTAATCCGACATCGAGAAGCCCTCAGAGTTGTCGTGGGCACTCTTGCGTCCGGGAGTCATCCGCCCGGAGAAGGTGTTGTACTTGACCATCCTGGGCAGCCACCCCTTCTTCTTCTTGGCGTTGACGCCGGTGCCGTTCATCCTGGAGCTGAGGTAGGTACGCATGGCGTCAAGGCTCTGCTCGACGATGTCCATAGGCGGGCAGACGAGCGGGTTCCCGACGGCGCTGAACTTGTTGAGCTTGGCTAGGCAGCCCATGGAGTCTGGGAGCACGGAGATGGAGTTGTAGCTGATGTCAAGCTCCCGGAGCGAGGTGAGGAGCCCCAGGCCGTAGGGCAGCTCCCTAAGGAAGTGGAAGTTCTGGCTGACGTTGAGCACCTCGAGGTTGACGAGGTTCTCGAGGCCCTCGGGGAGGGCGCGGATGCAGTTGAGGCGCGCGTCCAGGGCCCGCAGCGCCGTCATGTGGGACGTGGAGAAGGGGAGGCTGGTGAGCTTGTTGGAGTTGACGGAGAGCCTCCGGAGGCTGTGGAGCTCGAAGCCCAGCGTGTCCGGCAGCCGCGTCAGCTGGTTGAAGTTGGCGTTCAGCTCCTCCAGCGCACTGCACCCATGCCAACGTCACACAGGTTAGTCAAAGGCATTCCTAGTTGTGCTCGGTGGTTTTCTTTATTTATAAAGCGGGGCGAAAGCCTTTTTCGGTAAAAGCATTCCTAATTTTCCTACCCTAGTAGCTTATGGGTGTTGTTGGCGAGTGAGCGAGAATTGCGGGTGGCAGCGCGCTTACCGGCACTCCTCGATGGTGGCGGGAAGGGACTGGAGCAGGTTGCCGGAGACGTTGAGGACCCGGAGCTTGGAGAGGCAGCCGATGGAGTTGGGCAGCGACTTGAGCTGGTTGGAGCGCACGTCCAGCACCACCACGTTCAGCAGCCGCGCGATCATTGACTCTGGAATGCTCTGCAGTTTTTAAAACACATCGTGTCAGGACGTGAGCCTGTGACGATCGAAGCGGCATATCCCCAGGAAAAATGCTTCAGGATGTAGACACCATGATACTCTTTGCCCCTGAGTCGACAAGGGCCGTGAGAAGGGACATCGTGGAAGAAGATAGTAAAAGATTGCCATGGGTGATACTATATGGCAGTGCTGGAGCATATACTAGTCGTCCAGTTGAGTACGTGACTAGGCTTCATGTATTAATAATCGGCCTTGCTTATCTTATCATCATATATGGTAGAAGAAAAATGACACCGCCGTTTGTAGATACGTTCTTGCTAGTTATCCATTCAAAACGGACGGAGCAAGAGACAAGGATGAGCGTTTCAGAAGACAAAACGATGGAGGCAAACTGACAAGAAAAAGTCTATACTAGACGATGGAGGCAAACTGACAAGAAAAAGTCTAATAACCGGTAGTACTCCTTTTCTTCGCATCAGGTCTATACTAGACGATTGTTCAAAAACAAGTGATTAGCAGAATTGTCGACGAAGGACGTAAAAGATAGTCGTGACACAAGAAAAATAACATACCTCGAGATTGTTGTTGGAGAGGTCCAAGGTGGTGATGTGGCCAAGGGACATGGTGAGGTGCGGGATAGTGTCCATGGACAGGCCGCTCATGTCGAGCTTCTTCTCCTTGACCTCCTGCTCATGCTCTCCATGCTGCAACCCTCCTCCTGCGCCTGCCCCGAACGGCACGACGTTGGCATGCCCGTGCCCATGCCCATGCCCATGCCTTGATCTCCTCTCTGCCATGTCCCTCATGCTACTGGCTTCTCCCACGTCTGGTGCGTCGATGTATCAATTTAAACTGCAAAGAGATTGTGCCGTTGGTAACATATCAGATCAAGGAGACTTCTGACACACCAGCGATTAGTATAATTAAGCCAAAGGTGTACGTTGAACAGTATGCGAGTAATTAAAGATTGACACACACATGAGGCATGAGGGGGAGACCTGTACCAACAAGGAAGCACAAGGACGGCCAGCATTAACTGCATGTTGCAATCAGAAATGCCGACTAGTGCTACCGCTAAGTCCAGTCATCGCAAATATAGGGGAAATAATACTTTCTGGTGTGGCTTAAGTTAAGTCTAGCTAGTCATCGCAAATATAGAGGAAATAATACTTTCTGGTGTGGCTTTAGCTAAGTCTAGCTAGTCATCGCAAATATAGAGGAAATAATACTTTCTGGTGTGGCTTTAGCTAAGTCTAGCTAGTCATCGCAAATATAGAGGAAATAATACTTTCTGGTGTGGCTTAAGTTAAGTCTAGTCATTGCAAACATAGAGGAAATAAGTACTTTCTGGTGTGGCTTAAGAAGAAGGAAAAAGGGTTGGTGGGTGATACGTAGCGCAAGTGGCACACTGGTGGTGATAGAAAAGGGGTTTTCTCTAACTGTAGCCAGTGTTTGTTGCTAGGCAACCTCAAGCTGCATCTAACGTTGCGAGCCCATCGGTCGTGCGCCGTGTTCTCCTGCAGTTTCATGGTGAGAGCACACACTCAATTTCGCAAAGAAGAAGAAAACGGAATGAACAAATGAGGCTGAGGTGAATCACTCTCATCGTGCCTACATCGATCGCCAACGAGAGCGTTGAAACCCAACTAACGGACCAAGCTAACCAATGAAAAGTTAATAACATGCTCCTTGATTCCTTCTGTATGCTGTTTTTTTTCCCTAGCAGAAGTTCCAAAACTTAGCTATCAAAAGCAAGAAAATGCATGGTGATTGTCAACAAATAGATTAACCAAGTGAAAAGAGTGGAAGAAGATTGATTTCTCAAAGTAGTACTTGTGGGTTAACGGAAACCGCGGTGAGCGACCACCTCCCCAAAAGAGGTTGTTGACCACAAGAGTATTCTCGGAAGAAAGCGAGTTGAGGCAGTACGTAACACAGGGTGAGAAGCTTGTCACAATCTGCTCTCTTCCTCTCAGAAGAACAAATTGAGATCGCAGGTAAAGAACAACAAATTGAGATAGAAGAAAAGTGCAAGAACAATCCAGTATGCAG